CCACAGGCACAAGAGATCACAGCCACAGGCACAAGAGATCACAGCCACAGGCACAAGAGATCACAGCCACAGGCACAAGAGATCACAGCCACAGGCACAAGAGATCACAGCCACAGGCACAAGAGATCACAGCCACAGGCACAAGAGATCACAGCCACAGGCACAAGAGATCACAGCCACAGGCACAAGAGATCACAGCCACAGGCACAAGAGATCACAGCCACAGGCACAAGAGATCACAGCCACAGGCACAAGAGATCACAGCCACAGGCACAAGAGATCACAGCCACAGGCACAAGAGATCACAGCCACAGGCACAAGAGATCACAGCCACAGGCACAAGAGATCACAGCCACAGGCACAAGAGATCACAGCCACAGGCACAAGAGATCACAGCCACAGGCACAAGAGATCACAGCCACAGGCACAAGAGATCACAGCCACAGGCACAAGAGATCACAGCCACAGGCACAAGAGATCACAGCCACAGGCACAAGAGATCACAGCCACAGGCACAAGAGATCACAGCCACAGGCACAAGAGATCACAGCCACAGGCACAAGAGATCACAGCCACAGGCACAAGAGATCACAGCCACAGGCACAAGAGATCACAGCCACAGGCACAAGAGATCACAGCCACAGGCACAAGAGATCACAGCCACAGGCACAAGAGATCACAGCCACAGGCACAAGAGATCACAGCCACAGGCACAAGAGATCACAGCCACAGGCACAAGAGATCACAGCCACAGGCACAAGAGATCACAGCCACAGGCACAAGAGATCACAGCCACAGGCACAAGAGATCACAGCCACAGGCACAAGAGATCACAGCCACAGGCACAAGAGATCACAGCCACAGGCACAAGAGATCACAGCCACAGGCACAAGAGATCACAGCCACAGGCACAAGAGATCACAGCCACAGGCACAAGAGATCACAGCCACAGGCACAAGAGATCACAGCCACAGGCACAAGAGATCACAGCCACAGGCACAAGAGATCACAGCCACAGGCACAAGAGATCACAGCCACAGGCACAAGAGATCACAGCCACAGCCTCCTATCCATGTTCCAGTTTCGATGTTTTCAAGACAACAAAACGGAAATACAATTTAAAATAACAAAACAGCAAGGCCATCCAAAGCAAGCAAAATGGTGAAGCTAAATCAACTTTTAGATACTGACAATACAACACACAGAACTACTTCGCTGAGACTAAGAATTTTAAAAACTTGAGACACAAGTCTTTCACTTGCGGTCAAACTATCAAGTTACAGGGGGGAAAAAAACACTGTAATAATCTTTAGGTACAGTTTTACATGCTTAATTTTACTTTTTATACAAGGCTTTAACACGAGCCATCTTTCCAAACATCTTTGCATTGCCCGTGGAGAAAACCTTTTTCCTTTTTATTAGCTCACTACTACTAGTACTTCAGTACTGCAGAAGCCCTGAAAAGTTTTTTAAAAGGTGGTGACTAAGGTAAATGTGTAATTTTTACCAGACATTCAATTTACAGTCTACCCAATAATGCTTTAATTGTTTAAAGCCTTATGAATAATCAAGGTAGGGTAGGGAGGAGAGAACTTTAGTAAAATTACCACTGACCTTTGAATTAAGTTGTTCTGTCCATCTTTATTTTCTTTGAGGCAGTAGCAATTCAGATGAATGCAAACCTACAAAAAATACTGTAAACATTAATTTCAACATTTAAACTACATCTATCTTCAGAAATATTTAACCTCTATGGGAGTAAGGGGACAGCAATACATCTGAAAATAACACCTAAGATTAGTTAGTTGACTAGATTTTGTTTTGAGCCTTCCAAAAAGGTGGAGGTTTTCAGTAATATTATACTTCCAAACCCGTCAGACTCATTCATTCATATACAGAGTAAGAAATTACTTTAAACCCAATCTTAAAATACCAATACATTAAAATGCTAGTTTGCATGGGCAGTAAATTAGGTTTTGGTAAAAATATCTGCCTTCCATAAGTGACAAAGAACAGTGGAAGGAAATTAAAATGAAAAAGACTGAGGTGTGTAAAACATCCAGCAGACTTGTTCAGTAAGTACAATAGATCATTGCGGAGACTACAATATTAACATGAAGGCTAAATTACCTATGGATTCAGTCTAGATGTATGTATTCTCAACCCACTCCTACCTACACATTTCTCCTTGTACATATATTCTTCAAATTCTTAAGGAATTATTTAATTACTAAAAACAGCGACTAAAAATTAGATTCTGCAAGCTCTTTTCAATGTTCTCAAACAAAATAACAATCTCTAGGCAGAAAACACTTCTGGTTTAACCATTCTATTGGTAAAATGTTTATTCAAGTGTAAATTGATTTATAAATACTACACCACCTACCTAATCCAAAAGGACCGCACAAGGTGTCAGCACTGCGTGATTTATATTTTTCCAGTTTGTTTTCCTTGAGATAATATCCCGAGTTCTTGTTGATACTACATTCGTAGCTGTTTGACATAGGTTTGACCTCACAGAAATCAGCTACCCATCCTTCTTGTTTACAGATTCCACAAGGCTATTTCCAGTATTTGCCAAATCTGTCTTTTTAACCTCTGAGTTTCTTCTCTTGTCTATTCCATGTACATATCACTATAAGAAGCATCAGCTCCAGGTGAAATAAATACCCTTTTTACACCACAAACTGTGAAGCCAAAAATCCAAATTTCACATCTGAACTGTGCAGCATTTCCTAGTTTTGGGCAGCAAAGGCATTTGTAAACAACAGCTATCTGGATACCTCCATACTGCTTATTGGCAACAACATCTTTCAACAAAAATATTAAATAAAATATAAAAGAAAAAATGATAAACAAACATCTATTAGATTCTTCATTTAGAGAATAAGTCTCACTGCAAAATGACAAAAGGCTATGGCAGAAAATCTAAAACATAAGGTAAGGGGAAAAATATCTTCCATGAAACTTTTCAGCAATTAACCTGGAGCCAATTAACAAAACTGGTTATGCCTATGACTCAAAACAGAATGTTGACTAGAAGAAAAAAGTATCTAAAAGCAAAAAAGCACTTTATTTTGGCAGCTGAAGTATTCAGAACATGATAAATTTAGCCATGTATCCATATCATGACGACAAAGCATCCAAGGGTAAAGTGCTCAGCTCTGCTAGAAAGAAAAAGCTCACGACTTCAAACTTCAATTCACTTCTCAGAAGCCTTTCCAGGACGAAGCACATAGACAAATAATCCCAGAACAGTGTCCGGTATTTCTCCCCTTTCACAAGAAGCAGCTGGTGCACGTCGGTTTCCGCTTTTCTCCTATCAGATAAAGCAAAAGGCTGCAAACATCCAGGACTCTTCTCTGTAACCCAAACTGCCTACGGTAAAAAGAACCAGAACAGTCAGCTGTCCCTTTTGAAATACGAACTAGCGTTAGACAAAGACGTAAGCCTGAATCTTACAAAACAACCACACATGCAAACAGGGAGCCGAAGCGAGTGCGGAAGCCCCGGTTAAACCTCCGCTCACATCGCGGAGACAGCAGCAGGCATGTTTATCGGAGAAGGCAGCCTATCAGCGAAAACGTTCTCCTGCCTCACATTC